ATTTGTGAAGTCTTTGAAAATGTAATAAGTTTTACGAAACGCGCCCGTGTCGCGTCAGACTAGAAATAAAAATGAATTTTGGAGAAGTGATTTTTGATTTACCTCCAACAGTGAAGCATAATGTACGAAAGATTGAGAAAATTCGTGTTAGAATTATTAATCTTACTTTTTCGGTCATATTTAATAATATATGTCTACAGGAAAGACTGCTACCAAAATATACTAATATATATATATATATATATATATATATATATATATATATATATATATGCGAACAAGCCTGAATGGTCCCCAGGACAATATGCAACTGAAAACAACTTAGTTATATATATATATATATATATATATATATATATATATATATATATATATATATATATATATATATATACACTAAAGCCAGCATTGTCAAAGGAGGAGAGGGATCGGCCACTAAGAAACCACCTGCCGGGGCCGAGCTGGTCCAGAGACGTACTCGATACAAACACAGGTTAACCCCCCCACCCTCCCCCCCCCCCCCCCCTGCGATCAGCACCATCTTCTACTTTCCTTCAGATCAACTCCATTCCCCTTAAATACATTTCTGGTCACGACAACGAAATTCTCGGCAAAAAAAAAAAATCGACAATTTTCCTTCAACAATTGAGAAAATATATTTCAAATAAACTAAATTTGCACAAATCCTGCAGCTCTCTTGCTCCGCCTTGAGCGGCAGAGCATCCCGCTTTGCCCAATTGTTGCGTAAATATAGCCTCGAACCCGCCCGGTGTTACAGATCAACTTTGTCTCAGTCCCGGGCCCCCACAGTCGCCCTGGGGGCCCCCACAGTCGCCCTGGGGGCCCCCACAGTCACCCTGGGGGCCCCCACAGTCACCCTGGGGGCCCCCACAGTCGCCCTGGGGGCCCCGCCCCAAGCCTCTGTTATACCTAGTATTACCAAACATGTTTGATTTCAAGTGATATATTCATTGGTGTCGCATGTGTGCTACGGTAATGTTGACGGATTAAGGTGAGAAGCAACACGTTGATACTTTGACTTTTAAAGAAAACTTGGAAGATATCACGGCACCAACTGGAGATGTGTGAGGACATTATTGATGCAGTTGTAGGGTGCAGCAAGGTGTAGGCACACTCAGGATGTGACTGTCAGGGTATAGCAGTTTTTAGTGTGCCAACATCGGGCTCAGTGGACCAATATTCAGGTGAGCACCACCGGTGTCAACCAGTGTTTTCCGCCTTAACACTCTCTCAATGTCGTAAGTCGGAATGTCACAACACCACCTAAACCTTGACACCACCTATATATATATATATATATATATATATATATATATAATATATGTCGTACCTAGTAGCCAGAACGCACTTCTCAGCCTACTATGCAAGCCCCAATTTGCCTAATAAGCCAAGTTTTCATGAATTAATTGTTTTTCGACTACCTAACCTAACTTAACCTAACTTTTTCGGCTACCTAACCTAACCTAACCTATAAAGATAGGTTAGGTTAGGTTAGGTAGGGTTGGTTAGGTTCGGTCATATAACTACGTTAATTTTAACTCCAATAAATGCCTGCAGGATCGAGCTCTAGCTCTTGGACCCCCGTTTTTCCTAGTTATTGGTTGTCTAATGCAATGACTCCTGGCCTATCTCCCTATCATACCTGCTTTTAAAGTTATGAATGGAGTTAGCCTCTACAATCTGCTCCTTTAGGTCATTCCATTTACTCACTACCCTTACGCTAAAAGAAAACTTTCTAACATCTCTATGACACATCTGAGTCTCAAGCTTCCATCCGTGCCCCCTTGTTCTATTGGTATTCATTGTAAACATTTCCTCTCTTTCCACCTTGTCAATCCCTCTAAGTATTTTATACGTCTGTATCATGTCCCCCCCCCTCTTCCTCCTCCTTTCTAACGTCGTCAGGTTTAGTTCCTTCAGTCTGTCTTCATACCTCATCCCTCGCAGCTCTGGGACGAGTCTCGTTGCAAACTTCTGCACCTTTTCGAGCTTCCTTATGTGTTTTTTTTTAAGATGGGGGCTCCATGATGGGGCGGCATACTCTAAGACTGGCCTCACATAGGCGGTATACAGTGATCTAAAAGCCTCCTTATTCAAGTTTCTGAAGGATGTTCTGACTTTTGCCAGAGTAGAGTATGCGGCTGACGTTATTCTGTTTATATGAGCCTCTGGAGTTAGGTTTGGTGTTATGTCCACTCCCAGGTCTTTTTCTCTAGACGTTATAGGGAGGTAGTTTCCCTTCATCGTATATTGGCCTTTCGGTCTCCTGGCTCCTGTCCCCATTTCCATCACCTTGCACTTGTTAGTGTTGAACTCTAGCAGCCATTTCTCGGACCATCTCTGCAACCTGTTCAAGTCATCCTGGAGAATCTTACAATCCTCATCTGTCTCAACCCTCCTCATTAGTTTTGCATCATCTGCAAACATCGACATAAAAGACTTAGCTCCTGCACTCCTGCAGTCAAGTCATTTACATAAATGAGGAATAGTATGGGACCCAGCACCGATCCTTGAGGCACCCCGCTTGTTACTCTACGCCAGTCGGACTCCTCGCCCCTCACTGTCACTCTCTGACACCTGTCTGTCAGGTAATTCCTTACCCATGATAGTGCGTTTCCGTCTACTCCCGCCTGCCTCTCAAGTTTGTATAGTAGCCTTCTGTGTGGTACTGTATCAAAGGCTTTTTTGGCAGTCCAGAAATATGCAATCTGCCCATCCTCCTTCTCTGTCTTGCCTTATTTTCGTCACCTTATCATAAAACTCCAGACATGAGTTCCCGTCGTCTGGCATAATTTCCCTTCTCCAAAGCCGTGCTGTTGTTTGCTTACAAATATAATTCTTTCTAGGTGTGCAACTAGTCTTAACCTTATAATTTTATAATTATATTACTTTGCAAGGGATGCTTGTGAGCGACACTGGTCTGTAGTTAACGGCCTCTTCTCTATCTCCTTTCTTGTAGATTGGCACCTCATTTGCCTTCTTCCAGCAGCTGGGCTGCTGGAAGTGAAAGTGACTCATTATAGATTAGTGCTAGAGGTATGCTGAGGGCCTGTGCTGCTTCTTTTAACATCCATGGTGATATTCTATCTGGCCCAGTAGCTTTAGTTACATCCAGTGATGCTAGCTGTATTCTTACTTCCTCCGCTGTTACCTCAATATTTAGTAGTTTCTCATCAGGGGGCTGCTTCCTCATCTAGCTCTGGGAGCTGTTCAGGCTCAGTAGTGAACACTCCATGGAAGCTGGCATTGAGCTCCTCACAAATTTCTTTATCATTTTCTGTATACTGGCCTCCCCCTTTTTCGTAACCTGGTCACTTGGTCATTCACTGTCATTTTCCTTCTTATATGGCTATGTAGGAGTTTCGGTTGGCTCTTTGGTTTGGAGGCAATATTATTTTCATAGTTTCTTTCTGCTAATCTTCTTATGTTTGTGTAGTCATTCCCGGCCGTGTTGCGTCTAAACCTCTGCCTCTACCTTGGCCTCTGTCCTTTGTTTTCTGCATTTCCTCCGCTCCCTCCTGCTTTTTCTCTTTCCTCCTGCTTGCTTTTGCTCTGACACTGTCTATTGAACCACGGAGGTTATATATGCTCCTACTTTTTCCCTTAATGGTGGTATGAATATCTTTTCTGCCTTTTTGCACCTCAGCTTGACTTGGTCCATCATTTCCTGGACCGTCTTCCCTTTAAGTTCCTTCTCCCATTGCACACTTCCCAGATACTCTCTTACTTTCATGTAGTTCCCTTTTTATAGTCTACTCTCCCTTCCCTGACTACTTGTCATATAGGCACTGTTCTGAGGTCCATCATGTAGTGGAATACCAGGACACAATGGCCACTTGCTCCTGGTGGTATTTCATGCTTTAAGTCCTCAATGTCTTCCTCATTCTGGGTGAAGATCAAGTCCAGAAGGCTTGGTGTATCTCCTCCCCTTTATCGTGTGTCCTTCTTTACATGTTGGGTTAAGAAGTTTCTTTCTATAACTTCTACTAATTTCGCTCCCCACGTTTCTTCCCCATCATGAGGATTTCTGGAATCCCCGTCAATTTCTCCATGATTAAGGTCCTCCATGGCTAGAATAGCTCTCATAATGTATTCGCTTAGTTGTGTTTGCGGGGGCTGAGCTTTGCTCTTTCGGCCCGCCTCTCAACTGCCAATCAACTGTTTACTAGCTATTTTTATGATTTATGCCCTTTCACATTTCACACACACCACATGTATGCCTTTGTCGCTGCTCTCTGCAATGTCTCTATGCATACTTTGTTGTCGTCATATTTCTGTCTGAGGGTCTTGTGTTGTTTGGCTGGTAGGGTTGAAAATTACCAGCACCGTAATTCTTTTTCCATCTGCTGTCAGAGTACGGAGATGGCGTCTGTGTGTATGTCTTCACTCAAACTTCACTTTTCTCGAGTTCTTCAAATGTCCACTCCTGCGTTACAAGGAGTGCAACTCCTCCTTCTTGCCTTTGTTGTATTTCTTTCCTTATCAGTTGGACTCCCCCTGGAAATATTGCATCAGCGATCATATAATTTATTTTCGTTTCCACTATTGCAATCAAATCTGAATCATTTTCTCTTACTCTTTCTTTAATTTCCTCTGTTTTGCTTGTAACTCCGTCGGCGTTCGTGTACCAAATATTCAGGCTCTTTCTGGACACCCTAGGCCCTGAGAGTTTAGTGTCAGGGAGTGAGTGGGAGTCTGGGGGTGAGTGGGGGTCAAGGAGTGGGTGGGTGCCCGGGGTAAATAGGGGTCAGAGAGTGGGTGGGTGCCCGAGGGTGAGTGGGGGGTCAGGGAGTGGGTGGGTGTGTGTGTTCAAGTTATGAACATGAAACAAGATCAACATGTCCCCTTGTCACATTAAGGCTGTGCTTCAGAAGACAGCTCTGGGTAACTGAACACAACATTCTTATCCCACCGCCTCCCACCCAGAAAATTTATTTCGTGAAGCTTGGCCTCGTTAGTTACCTGGAGGCGAGACTCACCTGTCAGACGAGACGAAGGGCACACTGGCCAGGCCGCAGCATCTCTCTCTCTCTGGTCACAATTATCTCATCTATTTTGGTAAGTACACGCAGGCACTGTCCGTCCTGCACAACCACTTCTTCACTTCTTGATTCCTTCGCTGTTTCACTTCTGGTTCGCTTCAGAACATTTTGCGTTTCAGTCGTTTGTTTTTAGCAATCACTTTGTATTACGGATATTTTTATACTGTCGGGAAAGAAGAAATGGCGCACTACACTGTAGTCTTGCGGCACTGGACACCTACACTGATCAACACTTGGCTTAACTAATCACAATGAACACTTTACAAAACTATGGGCACTTGCGATCCAAAGTGGCCCGCTGCCTCCCCTACAGACAGCTGTATGGCACTCTTCCCACCCTTAAACCACCTGACCAGAGGTCAGAACAAGAGGTCACAACCCGGCCACGCTCTAGGTGGAGGCTCTCCCACGCTCGGAGGCCACCAACTGCACCACTCTCTGCTCCAACACAAACTGGCAGACCTCACCATCCAACTGTTTTTAGCTTGGATGCCAACCCTGTGTAACAGTGTGTGTTGTTGGTCCACGTCGAGTCCAACTAAGCACTCTTGGACGCTGTGCCACATTTGTATGTGGCAGAGCGCTCATGTGTGTACACACAACACTGTCTCATGTACTCTTGTACTGCAGCGGTTGTACTACAACACAATAACCAACATACTGTTAATATACCGCCACAACTACACCAGATCTACTTCAATATTTGTTGAATAATTCCAATAATTCGTTGAATAAATTTACTCATGAATATAACATCGGTTTATTATAACCGTAATGTTTTATAAACCCTTTATGATAAAATAGTGTATGTCTGTCTGTCTGCTTTTCTGTTTGTTCTAAGTAGAAGGCTAAATGATTATGCCCAGCCCTCATCCAGCTTTCCAAGATGACACGTGGGTGGGGAGGGAGGATATGAGTGTCATAGGCCAGTCGGGGTCGGCCTCAGTGCTACTTATTAAGAAATATTTACATCTACAGTGTCCCCTGCGATTTTAAAGACGTCTGAAATCAGGATGAGGTCTTTTTGTGTTTTCAAATGTTTAATTCTGTGAGAATTTTCTGAGAGAGAGAGAGAGAGAGAGAGAGAGAGAGAGAGAGAGAGAGAGAGAGAGAGAGAGAGAGAGATGGGGGGGATAGAAGAGAGAAAGAAGGAGAAAGGGGATGTTGTGAGAGAGTAAATGGGAGACGGAAGGAGAGTAAAGAGGAGAGGGAAGGAGAGAGGGGGTGGGAGGAGGGTTGGAGGAGACAAGATGGGCGGGTGAGAGGGGATAATGTTGGGGGGGAGAAAGGTGGAGAGCGGAAAGATGGGGAAGAGGGGGAGAGGGAGAGAGAAGAGGGAATGATGGACGACAGATGAGAGAGATTATAGACTGAGGAAATTGAGAAAGGAGGGAAGAGAGGGAGGAGCGAGGGAGAGGGAGAGGTAAAGAGAGAACCCGGGTGCCTCATCCACCATACAGTGTGTATGCCATCCAATATATATATATATATATATATATATATATATATATATATATATATATATATATATATATATATATAGATTAATAATTCTAACACGAATTTTCTCAATATTTCTTATGGTTCTTTTCACTGTCGATGGTAATAGAAAAATCAGTTCTCCAAAATTCATTTTTTATTTCCAGTCTGACGCGACACTTGAACGCGTTTCGTAATAACTTATTACATTTTCAAAGACTTTAATGCACACACACAACTATAACCTGCAAACACTAAAACAGATTTCTTACTATGCTATAATTCAAACGGCTTTTCATTTTATATACCTGCATTTGGGTGAGGTGATATGTTACAACAGTTTTGGATGAGGTGAAAACAAACTTTCAACACAAGATAGAACACGAAATATTGGGTAAAGTTAAAGGGAAAGAATGGAAGTAAATGCAAAGGGCCTATTGGCCCATATTTCTTGATGCTTCTATATTGGTGCGGAGTCTTGAAGTGGGTAGAATATAGTTGTGCATTAATTGGCTGTTGATTGCTGGTGTTGACTTCTTAATGTGTAGTGCCTCGCAGATATCAAGCCGCCTGCTATCGCTGTATCTATCGATGATTTCCGTGTTTTTTGTTAAGACTTCTCTGGTGATGGTCTGGTTGTGGGAAGAGATTATATGTTCCTTAATGGAGCCCTGTTGCTTATGCATCGTTAATCGCCTGGAAAGAGATGTTGTTGTCTTGCCTATATACTGAGTTCTTTGAGGCTTACAGTCCCCAAGTGGGCATTTGAAGGCATAGACGACATTGGTCTCTTTCAAAGCGTTCTGCTTTGTGTCTGGAGAGTTTCTCATGAGTAGGTTGGCAGTTTTCTTGGTTTTATAGTAAATCGTAAATTGTATCTTCTGATTTTTGTCTGTAGGGATAACGTTTCTATTAACAATATCTTTCAGGACCCTTTCCTCCGTTTTATGAGCTGTGG